CCCAGCAAGGCATCCATCTTTCGGAAGGACAATATCGCCAATCATCTAGAGATTTGAGGTCTCTGGATAAGGCCAAGGAGATTTGATCGCCGCAAGTGAGAAAGCAAGGATGGCGAGAGGCTGCGGGTAAGATTTTGGGCCAGAAGCACAACACGGGCGCGAGCTTGGGGATACACAAACACTTTCGAGGTTGTCGAACATGAACTCGAGGCCTCGAGAGTCTAGAGTAACAATCGTACGGATACACGTGTAATACGTGAGCCGGGCGAAAGCTTGGGAAGATGGCACAACCAATCGGGCGGCTGCCTTTTGACCCTTGACGTGGACTCAGTGAGGCGCAAGAGGGCGACGACGCAACTCTCTAGCCCCCGTCTCCCAATGGCGCGCGACTTTTTGTGGTCGTCGTGTCTTTTTTAGAGCGAAACGAACGCCCGTTTTGTTACCAACGAGAAGAGCCTCCTGGCCTTGGCTTTTCACCCTTACTTGGCGTTGTTGTTTCTTCTCTTATCGGGCGACGAAGCAAGCGGGATGGGAAAACCGCAGCCAGGCGAGTAACCGCTGCTTACACCCTAAGGTAGACACAACGCCCATCACTAAAAGTACGAGGGACAAACGTGGTTAGTTATGTTGCCCGACTTCAGTAATCCAAAACGGGAGCCACTTCTGTCGCTTTCTCTTCCTGCTCTATTTCTCTTTCTAACTTTCTACGAAGCGCCGTAGGCCGCCTCGTCAAGATTAGAGATCTTGGCAAAGCAGACGGGGGACCGCCAAGAAACCCTCTTTTTTTTTTGGCCCCAAGTGCCCTGACTAGGAACGCCTATCGGGGAATCGGGGGCTAACGGGCTAAGGTAACGAAAGCTCTCGACTATCGATGGTGTCTGTGCCGGCGCCGAACGCAAGTTTCTTAGTGCAGAAGAAGAATGCTTTTTTTTTTCTCGGGGGGGGGGGGGGTTGTCTGAAGATGTGATTCCATGCCGCAGTCCCTTGCTGAAGTTACTATAGTTGAAAACTTGAAAATGCAAAAGAGAGACAAACGAAGGTAGATTGCCGATACAGTAGATAAGGTAAAGAGACAGCCGTGGCTTTGTAGGAGAAGGAAGCTCCTGGAGTCCCAGGGCCCAGGTAAGGGGTCAGTTTCGCAGAATCAAAAACTCTCGAGCCCTGGACCTGGGACGCGGACGCGGACGGAGGGGAGGGACGGGAAGTGCGCGGGTATCTTTTTTTCTCTCTGTCGCAGTGCCGTGAATGCGACGCCAAAATGCAGAACTGCACCCTGCGGCGCCTGCGCACGACGGTTACTACGTAGGCAGGTTCCATTTCTGCGGCGCCTGTCTGCGCCGCACGTACCCTTGATTCTTCGTGAACGACGTCGCGCAAGCGTGTACTCCGAAAGAGGCGTGCTCCCGCCGGCAGTCTTGGTTGGTCTACTGGGGCTTTTTTTTCTACGAATACTTCGTTAGCCGAAGGTTCGTGGTTTCGCACTGCTCTCGGGAGGTTCCCCCCCCCCCCCTCCTTTTCTGTGCATCCCGAGTGTGCCATCGTATTGCTGCAAGAGTTATTCAAGTCTCCAAGCTTAGTAGTAGTAGACATGAAGCATGGCACTTGCTTCAAGTTAAATACCCACGGTGATGCTACACAGCGTCTGGAGGTTATGGGACTCGAAGAGAGATGAATTCAGTCGAGCAGATGCGAGGAGTGGGATACGTTAACTCCATACCGCGTTCGAGAAAGTACTTCTCCTCTTTGCCCGAGGAAGTGTGAAGCCCCCCTCCAACCTCCAAATCGAAGGCAAATGCTTGTCGCATCTTGACGGCTTCGCACGCACGCATAACGCATCACAGAAAGAGAACAATTCCCGAGTCCAGACCCCCAGGTCTTCAAGCGAGGCGCAATGATTTGAGAGGGCCACCGGACGACCAGTGTCATCCGCCCCGTCGGTAAACGGTGACGATAAGGACGGTAAGACCGGACCTGACGTCGTTGTAAAGGGGCCGTGCGGCCTTCTCTTTCCCTCTTCCTTTCTCTCTGTCTCCCAGACCTGTGCTTCCAGAAGTTCCGATTCCATCCAAGAGAGACATCAAACAAGTCATCGTCGTCAAGAGAAGTCCTCATCATTTGGGAAAACCCTGGTCAAGAGCCCAGCGTTTGACTAGTTTTCACAATCATGACGCGGCAGAGACGCGGCAGCGGCAGCTTATGCGGGAACTAACGAGTGTTGGTATCCAATAGTGTATTGATATTAGCTTTAGTGTATATTTTAAAGAGAGAAAGATGGCGAGTTTTCCAGGAGGGAAGAAAAGGGGGCTTGCTTTGACAAGCGAAGCAAGCCACGAGGACGACTCTTCTGTGCTAAACACTCAGATCAAGAAGTCAACATGAATCTTCCATCAACCCCCCTCCCGCCTCTTCGACCAAAAACTGCATATTTTCAATGGAGTCTTGACCTTACACGGCCCTTTCAGGCATACGCCGGAGGCTCGGCAGCAGCCATCTGCCTCTTGCGCGCCGCGTTGATGGCCTTCAACTTGGCCGTGCCGAGACCAGCAACACCGTTCTCCTGATTGTCACCCAGCCACGGCTTCTTGGAATCACCCAGCATGCTGCCCGCGAGGAAGTACGCGACCTGGCCGAGGATGATGAGCACAAAGGCGATGGGGTACATCCAGTGGATGGAGTAGCCAAAGACGTTGACGCCGATGATGATGCCCCAAAAGTTGCCCGTCAGCAGCGAAATATTGTAGAACGCGGCGCTGGCCATGCGCAGTAGCAGCGGCACCAGGCTGTAGAAGAGGCAGAGCGCAAAGGTGTAGCCGAGGAGGTAGCCAATGGCGGGGCCGTTCCAGGTGGCCTCGCGGAAAGACTCGCGGTCAAAGATGGCGGCCTGGACGCCGTTGATGCACATGCCCCACATGCCCATGAAGGAAAGAACCTCGTAGACGGGCCGGCGGCTGACGAACCACTCCTCTGCGACGTTGGTCACACCGTACAGGGTCGCGCCGAGGAGGGCGAATAGGTCGCCCTTAACCATGTCGATCCCAGGACCGCCGTTGGAGCCGGTGATGTGGTCGCTAGCGAGGAGGACACCGCAGCCGCCGATGGCGACGATGATGCCGACGATCTGGAAGACCTTGTAGCGGACGCGAAGGAGGAAGAACGAGAGGATGATAACGACGACGATGGCCCAGAAGTTGAGGAGCTGGGCCGAGAGGATGTTGGTGTAGCGGTAGGCCAGGACGGTGAAGTAGTTGCCCTCGACATCGAGGAAAGAGAGGATGAAGTACTTCCAGCCGTCGCGGAGGAGGAGCTTACCCCACTTCTTGAAGCCGTACTTGTAGATGGTGACGGGGAAGTAGATGAGGAACAACAAGATGTAGTTGAAGACGGTCTGGAAAGCCGGGATCGAGACTCCGTTGTTAGCGAGGAAGGAGGTGAAGGTGTTCGTCGAGGTGATGCACAAGGCGAGGATCTGGCCGATGATGAGGACGATCCAGAAGTCGACGGTGGTGAAGTAGCTCCACCAGTGCACCTTCCTGGCCTCGATATCGTGCAGACCCTGGCCTACGAGCTCGGACTCGTCGTGGCCGGCGGTGATCTGTGTTGTGGTCACCGGGGCGGTGTTGAGGTTCTTGGTGGTGTCGTCGTCGGCGGCCATGGTGGGCAACGGTGCGTAGGCGTGACCGGGGTCGGTGTTGGTTTCTGTGGTCCTGGTGAAGGGTAGGCGCCGTAGCGACAGAATGGACTCGAAGCGACGGGATACGATGCTGGGCATACAGCGATCTGAGGCGAGGTTAGTCGTCTGTTGCCTTTGCCACACGTTGATGTGGTTGGAAGTCATCTTGTTTGCTGGGTCTATTCTACATACCTTGGTGCGCACAGGAGGGTATTCAGACGATGTATCGTCTGCGCGAAACGATCTCAACTCTCGGTCGAGTTTCGTTCTCGCGATATGTGATTATTGGTATGGATTTGTAGTGATAATGACTGCTCTGGTCTTTCTCGTCCCCTGGCAGCAAGCGCAAAGACTCAAGTCGCTCGCTGTTTTGTCTATCTTACGATAGCACGGCACATGGACGATGCGCCGGGAATCGGTATGCGAAGAAGTTGGCCGAGGCGGCGCGCAACATATGATGATCGTCGGAGGGGTTCGAAGCGGTTTGCTGGTGCCTTTTGGTCAGGCAGCGCGTGATGTAGTCGTTTTGGTATCGGCGCAAAACTTTGCTTCGAGCTGTCGCAACAGAGGGAGGGGAAGGAGGAAGTGGAGGAAGAATGCGACGAGAGGGTTGGAATTTTATCGCGGCAACATCCCAGTCGGTAGAGAACCAACAGCCCAGCCAAAAAGAAAGAAAAAACTTCAGCTGCACTATCGCCCTAGGGAAGGTGGTGGTCGAGATGCAGCAGTGGGGAGCTATCGCAGTCGCCACGAGCCTTGAGGAGGGGCCACGGGGGTGGGAGGACCCGCCAGTTTCCTTCTTCATGTGACGCTCCCGCTCGCCTGAGTGGTCCGGCTCCTACAAGAACCACTGCGACAGCTGCACCGCAACCGGCCCAACGTGGCGGGACCGGCCGATTTTCAACCATTTTCCCACCCAGCGGGCCACCGCCTTCCCTCCCAGTGGACGGCGCGCCGGCCAAGACGTCCTTTTTGGGGGGTCCTGATCCCCGTCCGTCAGCGCACTTGCCCGGGATCTGGGTTGCACATGGCCCGTGTTGGCGTGCTTTTTGGGTGCGGTGGTGGGGTCTGCAGTGGGCGGCAACCGCGGGCTCGGCAGCGGGGTCTCTCCAACTCTGTGCTTGAATCCTTCGGGAGCTCTGCGCATCAACCTCTCAAGTTCTTCTCTCCAACGTAAATCAAGAATACCTACAAATAGCGATGGCAGAACTCATTCATGCCTGAAATCTCGACCGTTTGAAATTCACGTACCAAAGCCTGGGGGCCCTAGCAAATACGATACTTCTTAGCTTCCAATCTGCTACACTATGGCTTCTCTGTTTCGAGAAATTTACTTGGACTCATCATTCAGCGCTTGATAGTCTTTTGCCATGCCGAATCTTTCAAACATACGAATGGTGCGAGGAGTCTGGTCTCTGTTAGGTAAAGGGGATAGTACTTTGTGGACTGCCTTAAGCATCTACACAAGTACTCAGAGCGTAACAACTGACGAAACTACATAATTGTAACTTCGTGAGCTGCACAGGGATATATACCTGCTACTCCATTCTAGTGTTATTTCTCAGATGTCTACCTCTTGCGTTGATCGCCTTCCTACACGCTGCCACTTGAACGCAAAAGCCCACAACATGGTAAAGTGCGTAGAATCCAAAGCTGATTTGCACGAGAATGGCTGCTAGTCCGTCGCCCCATCCCTTGCTTGGTACACCAGCTACATACTGAATGCTTATGACATAGGAGCAGTTAATTCCCAGTGCCCAGATCCAATACATCAATCTTCGGCTGGTGCGATGCGTGGTGTTATGCGGCGTCTCGAACCACTCGTCAACTGCGAGCCCCGTCAAGATGACAGAGTGACATGCAACAGGATAGGTAGCAAGTATCAAGTAAAACATGCCACCCTTGATTTGGAAGAGGTAGACTAAAACGCCTGCCACTTTTCCATCTGTCTCTAGAATGTATTTTCCTTCCGATGTATAAGTCCAAATTCCAGGAACCAGGAAAGCATCGGTGGCAAACCAAAACAGGAAGAAGACATGTGTCCAAATCGTCATGAAGCTAGAAGTCATGCAAGGCGGCATCCAATCAGTCTCGATGTAATAGTTTCCCAATAAAATATTTCGGCCATTGATACGTCGGTTCTGATTAGTCGATGCCTCGATATTTGTTGCGTCAGTACGGCTCGGCTCATGGTGATTCTGTCTTTGGGCAGCCATTTCCCTATCGCGCGTCGCCATACTTGTCAATTCCAAGGTGTCTTCTTGAGAATGTCGACGATGTCTATGTCCACTGGAAGTATTCTCAAGCACTGTATTTGATACCTCGGGTCGTCCAACTGATAGGTTTGCTCCAGCGGTCATCTCAGCCGAAGTGAAGGTTCCGAGCAGGGCAACGAGGGGCGCAGCCAGGAGCAGAACAGGCAGAAGCTGGCCGAACTCCCATCTTGTGCTGGGCTTTTTTCCCTCTTCCTCTCGAGTATACCATTGCTCGTCGTTATATGCTGTCAGAACTTTGGAGGTTCCCCAGAGAAGAATTGCTAGTAACCAGCTAAGCTGTACAAGAGTCAGCCAAGTACAGGAAACATGACATTGAACTTACTTCTCCGAGCATGGAATTGAAAAGCTCGAAATTTGCCGACACGACTAGAAGAGTCGCAAGTACAGGTCTCACCACCAAATGCCGCCATGCATCAGAGATGATTTGATCGAGGTACTGTCTTCTACTGGCCTGTCTCTCATGGTTTGGAACCAAATTTTCCAGCTTCGTGAAGCAGTCAAGCGCGTAGTTGCTTACTGGCAAGGTGAACCTCCGATAGATTGTGCTAGAAGCACGACCTGACAGTTTGACTGCCCTCGAAGCAAACCCGAAGAGGAGTAGGACTGTTGAGATAATCATTTCTTGCAATGCAGACGATTTCCCCAACCGACGGCAATCGAAGCCATCGAGATAAGAGGGGAAATCTCGTAGACAGTTTGACTGTTGTTCTGATTCATTGGAAAATTTGTAACAAAATTCTGTGCAATTCCTCCTGAAACTCTCTCGATAGAGTTGCTCTCCACAAGCCAGGTTGAAGAAGCACGCCGCAGGCGATTTGGCTAAAGCTGCAGTTGGCTGAGGATCAGTAGAGTCAGCCCGTGGCGATTTCCAGTTGAAGAAACCGGATGGGATCATGGCCACTATGAGAATGGATAACAGGGTAAGCATAAGGGTGATTCGCAATGACCTTTCCAATGGGCGTGTCTGGAAATACCTCCTCAGGACCGTCAGACCAGACAAATGGGTGACACTGGAAAACCAAGCCAGGTAGGTGATGATCTGCCAATGGAGAGCCGATAGGTGTTCGTCCAAGCATATGAATCCGCCGATGAGAATGCTCATTCCTGTGATCATTTGCACATCGCAAATGGCGATTATGCACTGAACGCAACAGGTTACATGACTGTCTTGTTTTCTCTTAAGATTCAAAGAGGACACTCGGCGACTCACCATATCGAAACAATGCCTGACGCGCTTCGAGCGACTTTCGCTAGCGAGTGGGAGTGATGCTCCCGCAAAAATCAGAAGCCTTGCTACCCATGTTCTAACCAAAGCGAGAAGATTGACGTCGACCAGATTCGGTCTCAAATCGATGCAATCCCTAGAAGTGTAGACATTTGTGCTGGGAGGCCCTGGGATATTCCCTGGTAGCCGTTCTAGACTCGTTGCTTGGCTTTGTCTCTCGTCATCCCTCACCTGCTGCACCGGAGGGAAGTCTGGATCGTATGCTACGAAGTAGTGAACCACAAGGAGGAGGAAGACAAGATATCCTGTTCCGACGAATCCAATAAGGACCTGTGAAAAAGTTCTCAGTGATGTCCAGTGTCTTATTCATTGAGGGCTTGAGCGATGGGCCCAAAAAATTACCCCCCGACCAGCTATATCACTGTTAGGCTCCCAGGCGCCAGGTGATGTGCAGTTAAGCTTGGATGGACATAGAGATCTGGACATTCTCAAAATACGATCATCAACTCTCTCTATGGTTCACTATTTTCGACCAATAGTAATGCTATATTGAGCTTCATAAAATTGGAAACAACCACGGGCGAAACTTGTCCTTTTTATTTCAATGGCTGCTTGATCTCAGGGTGCGATGATTAAATAGCAATCCTGACGGCGATGCTGCAGGACTGAGACAATGGCTCCTTTGGCACGTCATGCACCCAAATGACAGGGAGGTCAGCTTCCCTTTCCATCTAGCGAATTAAGATCATTAGTTCTCTGGCAGGAAGTTGAGATATTGCCCAGAGGATCAATTTGTATCACCGCGATGGCGGTCATGGCGGACTAATTTAGATCAGGCTGGCCTATCGCTACCAGCCTGTGCCGCTGTGCATATCGTGAGCTGCATAGCGTTCTGCAAGCGCAACACCCACCCGGTTTCGAATCCGATCGAACGTAGGCAAAAACATAAACATACACACCGACTTTCAAGTCATATTGTACACGAAAAGTCGCCTCAACTACCTATTTGAAGTGGTAAGTACAGTGGTGCGCGAAAAGGACGGCACCCGTCGGGGTTAGCATCGGCTCCGGCTTTCGGCCCCACCAGGACAGCCGGCCTACCCCGGACCATGAGGCCTAACCCCCGAAGCTCTGAAAGTCAAGCTGGTTCTCAGGTAGAAGGTTACAAAAGGTTCCTTTGACTATTTACGTAGGATTCCGATCAAGTTTTGTGCGGGGAACCGCTAGAGTCGATAATTCACGGTGGGCAGGTAGTCACGGGCTCGGTGATTGGAGACTCTTCATTTCTCGAATCCTTCCCAAGCTCTGTAACCTCCTTCATAAGCTGGGTCATCTATATATTTCGAGCATCCCCGCATGTGGATGTTCAAAGGGACTTTGCTGAGCAATTTCTGGCAGAGGCGTTTCAGTCATCGCCAACCGCCAAAGGATGGGCTTTTCTATGCATCTATGGTCAACTAGGCATAACAACGAGTTCGAGGAGTTCAAGAAATAATGATTTCAGCAATCTCCCCGTCTATACGAGCCCTTTTTCTCATTTCATAAGCCTCTTTAGGCTATTAATTAGAGATACGAGTACATAGAGCCCGTATAGTACAATCGTGAAAGAATGACTGATCGTGTCTTCCGGTCTGAATTGATCACATCCCAACAGGTAATCCAAGTGTACAAACCATATAACAGAATTGCGAAAAGCCAAAAAATAGCACTTGAAAAACAATATCCGAGTGTTCCAGAAGACCTACCTGTCCAATCGAGGACCGTTAGTCCGGCTAAGATGGTGGCATGTCCAGCAAATGGATAGCTTAAGAGAGCTAAATAGAAGACGCCTTCCTTTGTGAACATGTACCCCGTTGGCGTCCAATACGGCAAAAGCCACTCAGATCCTACATAGATACCATTGAAATAAGAAGACATGCAGTAGAATGTCGAGGTCGCATAACGTAAGAGAAAACATACATGTACATCTATCACAACGAGGCTTGAAGTCAAATAAGGCTACATCCACTGCGTTTCGGAATACACATCCCTGGAGATAACAAAGAATAGACTCATATTGCTTTCGCTATTGTTTTGTTTCGTCAATGCATCGTTAGGAGAGTTTGCTGCCGTACGTTTTGCCATCATGGTCGACACGAAGGCCTGTTCGGAGCTCTGGGCTCGATCGGTGCTAGGCGCAGAACCTTGTGTGGACTCCACATAGTGTTTGTTATGATCTTTGCATTTTGGTTCCGAGATAAATGAGCCGAACAAGGTAATAAGGGGTGCCGCCAGGAGGAGCATCGGAAGCACCTGACCAAACTGCCAACCGGTGCTTTGGGGGCTGTTCTCCGGTACTTTTGTGAACCATCGTTCGACAGCGGCAGCAACGAATAGCTTCGAGGTACCCCAGAGTAGAAGCACCCAAAGCCAAAATATCTGATCATCAGAGTTGATTAGCTATCTTGGTGTCATGTAGAGTATGGGGCTTACCTCTTTCAACATGGAGTTGAACAAGTCAGCTTGCGTGCGGGATAAGATAGCCACTGAAATTACAGGCCGATGTAATACTCGTCGACGTTCAGACTTACTCCAGTTCCTGGTACATCGCTAATCTGCTCTTCGCTCTTATCGCGTGTGCAATTGAGACCTACAGGACACCCATTAAGCTCCATAGTAGGAAGAAATGGAATCAGTAGAGTAGTGTGAAAATATGGGATGGGTTATCTAGTCTGTCGGCGCCTGCCAGCGAAGATTCGTAGGGCATGTAAGGCAATACCACGGGGGGGAGAAGATAACAAATAGCGGTAAACTAGGTCACAGCTAATTGCAGAAGACTTTTGAATTCAGACTCTGATAGACCTGTGTTCGGGCTGACGTGGAAGATCACAAACTACACAATCTTCGAGTGTTGTGGCTCCTCGTTGCACCTGTACAGTCATCTACTTGCCAGTGACTCCCGGCCCAAGCCCATGCTCCCCGCATCACAAGACACATTCGGGCTTTTGGCGTTACGGAGGCTCCGTAGATTGCGTTGCGAATTCAAATCTTGCCACGGAAACTGCGCTATTGCTAGTCATGTCCTCTCAAGGGAAGTGAGCAAGGCTGACAACTTTCGGGTGACGAATTTCAACCTGAGAGACACCTTTATCAACTTGGAAGGAGGCAGATCAATATCGATGCATTGAGAAACTTTGATGAGAAAGCGCGGCTTTTGACCATAGGTGCAGGTTGTTCGAACTAACCCGTCCGACTCCCATAGCGGCGAGCAGCGACAACAATCTTTCATCGGCAGGCTTGAACCCGGCCCCACTCGGGGCCGAATCACAGTGCAGTCGGTCTTCCGGAGCCACCCGATGGACTACTTCAACTACCGTTGCAATGACACTTGGGAAGTGGCACGAGTTTCCATGCCAACGTTTTAGTTAGAATAACCTTTCTCAATTAATGCCCGGATAGTTACAACCAAGTTCATATTTGCCTTTCGTTAACACCAGTGTACATGACGTCGGATCAGACCGGTCGTGGAAAGGGAGTATCATCCTAAAGTAAATTGTATGTTACAAGCAGACAGGTCTTCTGACAACGCACTTGGTACTGCCCGAATCTTTGGACCATAAGTACTACCATGCGCGAGTACAACTTGGCAAAGCTTCCTTCCTTGGCGTACTCGGGCACAATTTTTGCCTGCCATCCTGCCGCTGGCTCAAAGTGACCGGAAACCTCCAAGCGTAAAACCTTTTTGAGATAGACAGAGGATAACGTCAGTTATGGCGTCACCAACGAAACTTTTGCCTGTGACAGAAGCAGCGCTTAATTCCATCCGATCCCGGATCTGATTAGCCTTCCTCGTCAAAAAGTCCAGATTGTCTCCTGCCGATTGTATATACTGAACGTGGAGCGAAAACAATAGCAGCGAAGGAGAGGTAATCATGAGGGCGTAAGCGGATTATTGATCTTGTGTATTTGGTATATTTGATTAAAAAAGTATGTTATCCTGTGTCTTTACTAGACAGTTGCGCCAATAGCAACAAAACAGGCCATGATCATAAACTTTTTCTTCCTACTTCTTCCGTCCATACTCATTAAGTCTAGACGTCCAGTTGCTTTAATTCATCCTACACATACAATTCCTATGGCGTAGTTTCATCTACACAGTATGTGCGTACATGCTACCCCTTTCCAGGAGGCAGTCCCTTCCCATAACCATCGTCAAATGTCAACCCCTTTACAGAGCAGCAACGATACCAGCAATGGCAGCAAGGGCAAGGCCGCCAACAGCGACGCCGCCCTGGGGAGCAGCGTTGCCGGTGGAAGTGGCAGTAGCGCTGGCGCCGGTACCGGTGCCAGTGACAGCAGTAGAAGCGGTGCGGGAGACAGAGAGAGTAGCGCTGCTGACGGAAGCAGTGGCGTTACGGGCAGAGGTGACGATGGCAGAGGCGGAAGCAGAGGCGGAAGACAGAGCGGCGCTCGCGCTGGCGCTGACGGAAGCGAGAGCAGAGGAAACAGCACCGGAGACGGAGGCAGAGACAGAGGCGGCAGCCGAGGAAGCAGCAGCGGAGGCGGAGGCGGAGGCGGAAGCAGCAGCAGAGGTAGCGCTGGGCTGGGCAGAGCCAGCGGTGGCAGCGTAGGCGGCGCAAGCGGCGGCGGCGGCAGACTGGGCCTTGCCGAGGTCGGCAGAGTTGCAGGCGGCGAGCAGGCAGGAGGCGGCGACGGGGACGAGGGCCTCCTGCTTCTCCTTGGTGCACTGGCAGGCGGTGTCGGTCAGGGCGCAGCCAACCTTGGGGATGGCATCGGTAAGGCAGGGAATCTGAGGGAGAGGAACGTTAGTTCGGGGTCATAGGGATGGCAAAAGGATTATAACATACGGCGCAGGAGGGCTGGCCAGAGAAGTCCTGGGCGACGACAAGGCCGGCGGCAACGAGGGCGAGAGTGAACTTCATTGTGAACGTTGTGTGGTTGTTGTGAGTATTACACGGTATTAGGTTGATATATCGGGTAAGATATAGGACGTGACGAGGTGGACGACGTTGAGATTAGTGGACGTGAAGTTGAGCAAGACAGGAATCAAGAAGAGGCAATCAACGTCGACCCGAGAAGACGGGATGGGCCATAAATATGAGTCCAACGCGCGCCGGCAAGCCACCACGTTCCTTCGGGGGAGACAGAGACAGGAGCGAGCGAGTGAGAGGGACCCCTGGCCCTGACTCTGAAGCTTTTCCCTTTCTGCCCTCTGCTCACAAAAAGCTTATCCCAATATCCGCACCGCGCAGCGGCGGGCGCGCGCGACGGCGGCGTCTCCAATATCCATTGGGGTGGACTCGTGGAGGGTGGAGGGTTACGTTAGCTCCGCTTGGGGAGGCGTTAGCTTTTCGCTTTTCTGCTGGGGCGACGCGACTTTGACTGGCGAGCAAGGGGGTGTGAACCTTGGGGCCGTCGAGCTACTGTGAAGAACACACACTGGGACTTGGGATCCTGGACCTGGACCCATTCGACCTACAACTAGACCCTAGGCTACGGACCGGGTTCTGGCCAGGAACATGCAACCATGATCTCTTTGGTCAATGGCAAGTTGGCTCCGGGTGGAAAAGGGTTGGCAGGGGCAGAAGAGACGGGGAATCAGCGTGATCATTCTCGAGCTGGGCGAGTGGACTGATTTGTGGCGCCGGTCATTGAGGTGACATCCAATTGACTCTTCTGGCTCCAATGGAACGTCAGCGAATTGCTGTTTGATGTAGGTATCCCTTTTTCGAGCTCATTCGAGCAACGGGCTGGCGCGCAAGGAGCTGGATTCTTTCGCGAGGTTGTCCACTATCCAGCTATCTTGCTGTCTAGCTATCTAGCTGATCCACGCTGTCTCGCGGTCCGTCCGTCCGTCTAACCAACTCACGCTTCAGCTCTCTAGCTCGTGTCCTGACTCTCGATTGCCCGTCGACCTTGGCTTAGCGTCCAGCCTCATGAAAAGTGTGACAGCCGAAAGACGACTACGAGACGGACGAAATACGGGCATCTGTGCGTTTTGATTGGATGGCAGGTGGCTTGAGCCCAACCAAGAACGCGTTGAGCCGGCTGGCTGTGCTGAGACAACCATCGGATTGTATCGAACTGCCTCGACTTGCCCATCATCTATCTGCCCTGTGGCGTCGGCACTTTTCCTTCCCATCAGTCCTGCTTTGCCCCCGGTGCCCCCTCGGAGATTCTGTCAGTCGGTGTGTCTGCCGCTCTCACTTTCTTTAGCCGATCGGCCGCCGGGCAAGCTATCCGCACAGAGATGACTTAAGTTGTCAAGGCCCGACAAACCTGACGCGTCGCTGTCTTGGTAGTAGCACAAAGCACCCGAAAAGAGCGAGTTGATGGCCGGCCGGTTCTACGACCTGAGTGCCGGGCTGGCATGACATCGTGCGAGGTGACATGCGGGACCAGCAGACCAGGGGCCAGGGGTCAGTCAGAATACCTACCACACGGGGAAACCCAAACCAGAGAGACCAATGGCCGTTTTTGCCGTCCTGGTGACTTTGGTAAGGAGGGAAAAGAGAGAAAGGGCCCCACGGTAAACATCTGATTTGACCAATTTCATTAAAGTTTGTCACTGGCAATATGTTCCTTGCAGCAAAGAAACAATGAATTACTCTATTCTGCAGGTTGCCTAGGCGCCTTCTGGTAACTCTATGGCCGAAGAGACTGGGATGCATACTGTAGAGTTTCTGATTAATTTTACTGAGAAGGAAAGAGAAAGGTTAGTTGAAAAGGCAAAGAAACATTGAACCTTCTAGACTTGCCTTATCAGGCGAGGGGTTTTCTTTACTCACTCAAACTCATCTCGGCTGGTTCATTCATCAAGAAAGATGGCGCTGCCGCGATACCGCGCTGCTGAGTGCTGGCTACTCATAGACACTCTGCCGCTGTCCACGCACATTCTGTAACCGTTTCTCCTGAACGCCAACTTTGCCATGTGTTGCAACACGCAACCCGGCAGCGAGCCCGTGGAGTAAACACGAACGATATTAATAACAGCAAGCCAACTCTTCGACGACTTGGAAGCTTCCCCGACCTTCGGCTACCAAATAAAACGTGGAGTTCGCTTCGGTACCAACGTTCGGACCTCTTGCTCCTAGTCGCTGCTCGACTCACACCTTGGAAATCTTCCTTGTGCTGCTATGCCGATCCCCGCTGGCAATAAACCCACTCGACACGAGCTCTGATCCCCGTCTTATTGTGCCCATGTTTGTGCCGTGCAACTCCCCGCAACGATTCTCTTGTGGCCCGAATATCAACAACCGATGAAGCGTTTCTTTGTTTATCTTCCGGTAACTCTGAGCAATGTCCGACTTTCTCCACTATTCATATTCTTTGCTCATACACGAAAGCTCGTCCCGTTTAAGGTCGCATCTAGCTGCCATGCTCACTCCCCGCCCGGCTGGTCATGTCTCGATGAAGCCCTCGATCGTGAACGCTCCGCAAGTCAGGGCTGGAAAGTCTCCGGTGGGTTGAATTGGGTTCGTTTTGTCCGGGGGTGGCGCTTGCATTCTTCAACTGCATGCGATATCCACTTGGACGGCCAAAGGTCGAAGAAGCTGATGAGGAGGCGAGCATTCATCGAAGATCAAGAGCGCCGAAGTGAACTGGGAGAAAGGTTATTTCTACATTGTCTACATCTATTCTTACAACTTAGCAGCCCCGCGTGCTTGTACCATTCAACCAGAAACACTTTTCGGCTTCTTATCCGCGTGTCTCAAGTCCATCTAACGCTCGAAGGCGCGACACAGTATCCATGATCCGATGTCAGGACCAACTCTCCATTGAATATCTTGGCCCACGGGTCGAGGTAGAAACGAAAGCTTGGCTTCTCACCCTCAATTTCGTAGACCCGCACGACGATGAAGACATCCGTCGGTATCTTGCTCTTGTCCAAGCGATACTTTTGAGTCTACAGTAGTTAGTAAGCTTGGTATGTTTCCCCAGGAAGGATGGCCCCATGACTAGAGCAAGCAGAACTCACCAGATTCATCTGCTTCTGGCTCAGGTGGAAAGGCTCCTCGAGTCCGCGAACCGTTCCCTTCACTTCCATGTGATACGTGATGGTTCGGCGAAACCAGGTCTCCTCGACGATGCCCACGTTATGAAGTAGCGGGAGCATGTATCCTCCTCTGTCCGTGTACGTGAAATCAGCTGTGACCGACTCATCACCAAGGAAGTCCGAGTAACCACATCTCTTCCGAAGATGGCTTGTCCAATGCTTCTCGGGCTCCCAGTCGGGTATTTCCTTGGAAAAGTAGCAATTGACCTACCAAATTTGTTAGCGGAGTTTTCCTCGTGCCATAGAGTCGTCGCATACAAAATCTTCTGCCGCAAATCCAACTTCCTCGAACCTGTAAGATTGGGGATCATAGTCTGAATCATCGTCCCCAAAACTTCTATCATAGGCCTGAGCGTAGGACATTGTGGGAGTTGACTGCCTGGCAACATCCCCCATCCCGACTGCACTGGTCAGCTCTCTGTAAGCGACGGTGGGATCTTCCGTCGAGTTGGTCATTGAGCTGTACACGCCGGTGGGGACGTCGAGGTCGTCGTCGAAGAGAACACGAATGTTGACTCCTTCCAACATGTCTCGCACGTCGGCAAAGCTGCCTTTGAGGATGTGTGAGATGAGAAGGCCGCGCTCGACGTTCTGGATTGCAAATAGCCGGCTAAATAAGTCAGCGAGCTCCATGTCGACCCGTCGATTGGTATCCTTGAAAGGGTTCTGCAAGACGACGATATGAATGACATCTTTCTCTTCCGTGATAGAAATGTGCCCTTTGCGAGACTCGCCCACTATTTCGCCGATTGCTCTTTGCACTGAAATGCCCAAGGCTAGCGAAACCTTGAAGGTAGGAATCGTCGGCGTCGCTTTGGTCCCGAGGCTATACGAGGTCAGTGAGATGCAATGACGTTTAGGTGAACGTGACTTACAGCGCAATGTACTTTGCTTTCTTCTGTATGTTTTCGGACCAAAGTGGATGGGCTATCGGCGCGCTCACGTAAGTGATATGCTCTTCTACCGCATTGCTGAGGAGTCGAGGAGAGAGGTGACGCCATGCTACCAATGGCATGATCTTGTCAATATCTTTGACGTCGAAATCCAGGAGGGAAACTTTCCCCTCAAAAGCGGTCCGTAAGGCCGTGCGGTCGGCAATGAACCAGCTATCATTGAGAGACAAGAACGTTGCGCTGTCTGGACCTCCTGAGTTGTGCGTGGTAGGTAGCATGGGGAAAACCTTGAAAAATGGGAGTGCTCTTTGCTCGAAGCACTGAGGCATTTTTGCAGGATCCTTCATACTTGAGAGATACTTGCACAAGAAGAGGAGCACTGTCTTTATCGACTGTGCCTTTCGAGTGTCCGCTGATAGGCCTCCCAAACGCCCCAACTCTCTGATAACGTCAGGAATACCGGCATCCGGGATTTGGAGTATCTCTTGAAAGAAAGTCCCACATTTAGGGTAGAACTCAGCAAGGGGTCGGATGTTCTCAAGGCAGGCAGGAGCCTTCCAAGTGCATTCGTTCGGGGTGAGCCAACCATGGACTGGATGATAGACCGTCTTGGCGTGCTCGAAGGCTTGACTGCTCGGGTTAGCTATCTCGCCCGGGATCAATTGAATAGAATCTTACCGCTGAGCATCCGAGATCTCTTTGCTGTTGTTGGCCAGATACAGATAAATGTGACTTGCAGCCTTCATAGTATCCGCATCAATGGCCAAACCTTTCATCATCTCGAGCTCCATGACGTAGGCCTCTACACTGGGTTTAGTAGTGACTGAAAAGGCTCCAAATTTCTGCCATATCAAGTCCTCTGGGTCAGGAAAATCTGCAAATGCAAGATGTGGACAGTGGAGGAGCAGAGCTTTGGTTGGTACCGCTGTGTCCTGGAGTTTCCGTTGGACCCCGTCTCGACAAGGCACTGTCATGGCCTGGACATGTGGGTGCAGAATTGAGAGGCAGTCCCTGTATTCGAAGAACAGCCCGTTTCGAAGCCACTCGTCTCTTAAGAGTTGTATGAAGCCCATGGAGTCATTTTTGAGAAGCCATCGACTTTCGCGACTAAGGACGACTTCCGAAGAGGACTGATCACGGACAAGTAACTTGAACGATGTTGCGACTCCGTGTTTGTTCTTCAACCACTCAATGAAGGCGCCTTTTTGGGCAGCGCGTTCTTCACCTGCGATCTCGCCTCGACTGAAGTAATCAGGATGCAGCACGTTCATGCAAGCCTTGGGTTCAGAAGAGTGCTTGCTAATGAGGTTATGTTGGATCTTTGGGTCGATGAGGTAGACGGCATCGGCGCGGCAAACCTCGTTTCCGTTGGAGGTAGCAACCCAGAGGTCCATCTTTGGAAGCCAATGCGGACGATGATTGTGGAATAAGTAGAACGCGTCTTCGATGAGACGCTCGGTTCCTCGGGGGTCCCAACCATGATTCCGTTTGTTATGGTCTTGGAGAATTCGATTGCAAATATCGTTCGATGTGATCTTCTTGATCCCTAACCATTCAAAGAGGGCGTCTCTCTTGGCATCGGATCGCGCATCGGGGAGCACGAAGAAGAAGCCAAGGCCTTGAGGAGCACCTTGGATGTCTGCCTTCGCCGCCAGGTATAGGTCTGCCGTGCGCGCAGGAAGCAGATCCCCGTCCAGTGTTGGCACAAGTGGCAAGCGTCGTAGTCTCTCTTTCCAAGACTCAGAGCGGACGAGAATAGCAGCCACTTTACTGTGCCATTTCTGTGACTTGGTGGTGAGGTCGGGTTTCTCTACTGAAACCCATTCACAGAAATGTGACACAAACACGTCAGCAACCATGGTACTTACCCCCAGACGCATGAAACCTTTGGGTAGATTTCCTTCCTGAGAGTATTCGGATGCTAGATGGCGGTGACGTTGTTTCGGTGAGTCGATCAAAGGCACTCCATCCAGACAGTATCCAGAAGAGACGAAGACGAGTTCCTGCGGCTTTCGCAGATCCTCAATCCCCGCGCGACTCTGAAGAACTGGGCGAGACTGAAGATGTCTGATCAGGGATTCTTCCAGACCGTCCCAAAAGTCATCGTGAGAGGGAGATCGCACCAAGTACCGTGGCCAGGAGTAACGCAGTTTACCTCCACCTTTGTTGAATCTCTCGACTGACTCCTCGAATGCAATTGGAATTGCTTCTCTGATCTTGTTGTTCCAAGCGTTTTCGGCGGGAACGCGCTCCCGATCCGCGAGTAGAATGAAGTCGCTCTGAATGAGAAACTGAGCGTCCGATTAGTGATGTTTTCTAGAAACCAGAGGGATTTTGGTCCTTACTTGGAAGCCATAGTGGCCAACTGGCAGGAATGCAAAGATTGGCTGCTCTTGAACCTTTGGGCTACCATCCTGCTCCAGCGGAAATGCAAGAGTAACCTCTGAGACGCCGATGTTTTTCCTTGTAGGTTCTTCTGGCATGTCTCCCACTGCCTTTCGGATAATGACGTACTTAGTTTCCGTCGCTGGCTCCGAATTGTTTGTGTGCATGGTAATAGTCCGCGTTTCGCAGTGGAAGTCTGTGTCGTGATCTGTGTATGTAGCCAAGTAGTCAACCTGCTCATCCGGTGTCTGGACAACGATGCGTCTGAGTCGGCGAAGAAAGAGCAGTATTTCGGGTTTGATCTTGGTAAGCTCCACGGCAATCCTTTCCAACTCGCTATTGCCAAGTAGTTGAAGAGCCATGCTTGTATTTTCAGACTCGCGCTGAGGTTTGATAAATACCGCGGGGAGGGGCAGGAGAACCCCCAGCATGTCCCTTGTCTTGTCGAGTTTGAAGCTGTAGAGCCCACTCGAGACATAGACTACATTTGCGACATTGAAAACAGACTTGAAGCCTATGCCCTTCTCTCCAATATATCCCGAATGGACCTCTTTCGATAAGCTCTTTGTGCTCTCTCCGATCGCGCAGAGAGCGTCGATTTGCTCAAGAGAAAAGCCATTTTCGTTGCATCCCGTTTCCAAGTAGTGAACAATTTCGCCGCTGTTGTCAATACAGCTCTCGATGCTCAGCCTAAAACTTGGGTGTGAGTCTCGTTGAATCGCTTTGGAGTAATCGTTGTCGTCGGCATTTTGAAGAAGCTCCAAGATGAAATGGGTTGACGTGCAATACAGATTTTTCGCGAGAACCTGGAGGGCGTTTCGTAGTTGTTTCTCCGTGAATTTATTAGCTTGCCCATTTTCTATGCCTCGATCGTGTACGATGGTCTGTAGCTGAGCATCCGCCTCTTCTCGAGACTGTGGTGGTGATGGCGGTTCCATGCAGGGCGCGGAGCGATTTCTCGCTGCCCGGCGTTTGATGGAATTTGTCAGGAAGTCTTGAAGAGACCCAAGAGAGTTGTGTACGATGATTCGAAGAATGCGATTGAAAGGCAGAGATGTTGGGACCGGGGCGAGATCAAAACAGTGATGGGGTGAGGGTAGTGATGTGAGTCGAAGGTGTGAGAGTGAGAAGGTGAGAGTGAAAAGGTGAGAGTGAAAAGGTTAGTGAGGGAAGGCAAGTGTAAAGGTGAGGAAAGGTAAGAAAGGCTAGGAGATGCGCCCGAAGAGGGAGATCTGGTGGTAGGCAACTTCCTCACGCACCGTGTATTTTTCATAAGATTTGAATTTGCGCGGCCTTCGAGACCTAGGCTGGAGGAAGGCACGAGGTCATGGTTTCCATTGCTATTGAGGAAGGAGCCACCCACACTCTTGCTGCCTCATGTATATACACTACCTACCTCGTGGAGAGGATGGCCTCTATTACGTTGAATACTACGAATAAGCTCCCATTTATCAGTGATAGATGAGCCACGCAGCCTCATATTACCTTGGCTTTCAAAGATCTGATGTATGAAACTTGGTTATTGTTGACTTCGTCACTCTCGGGTAAGCTCGAAGCAGAGCCGCTACTATTTAGCATCTATTGCATGTAGTCGTACTGGTCTGTCTCACGTTTTAAGCGGAGCCTGCGTTCACGTCACTTCACAAAAGACACAATAACTTGATGTAGTCTATATATTACAATAGACTACATAAATCTTGTCCGTCACCCCGATCCCTTAGACCTTAAGGGCTACGTCGTCATCACATCTCACATCCCCGGCCGTTCATCCAACATCTCATCATAGATGTCATCCGCATCCCATCCATCCTTCACCTCCTCATTCCCACTTTCAACTTTACTCTCCGCAGCCGGTCGATCCTCATACACGCTGCCCCCAAGATCTTCCGCCGGTCCCTGGAAAGCGGAAGCCAGTTCACTGGCCCCTCGGAGGACTCGCCTGTGTACTTCGACGAAGGGCCATGTCCCAGCAACACGACGGGCAGCACTGCTGGCAGCGGAAGCGAGAGCGGAGACGAGAGAACCGAGGCCCGCGCGATTCCGGCCGGTGTCCTCCCCCACCGGATCATATAGCGGCGGTTGGTGATGACCGGCATTGAGGTGAGGTTGATGATGATGGCGTCCATGGGATATAGCAGCATCTTCTCGTGGAGCGATAACGTCCTCCCGCTCAAAAGGCCTACCAGTTCCCAGCCAATACTTGACCCACTCATGACCAGTCTCCTGGAATTGGCAGAAGACCGTGACGTTCCCATCGTCGTCGATGAAATATTCGTTCCAGAGGTAACTAGGGGTCAGAATCCGACCAAATGGGATGCCATTGTAGATATCCCGCGGCACAGGATTCTCTTCCAGGTAATTGATAACCCATTGGCGGGGCTGCTGGTCGACATATCTGCCGTCGACGTCGAGATGGAAAGATGAGACGTAGTACATCAGACCATCGTAATGGATCGCCTCCACAAGCTCTTGGGCCTCGTCATCGTTGAGAATGCCGCGGACGCGATTGAGAACGGACATTTGGTCCCAGTTGATCCGGTTCAGCGTGTAGTCCAATCCCATCTGGAGGAAGTCGCGACAAGTGACCTGCTCGCCCCTTGTATGGCTATACGTCTGTAACAAGACTTCGTAAATGCTTCTGACACCCCATGAATCTCCAGGGGCGTCGTGTTCCAGGCTGTAGGTGGCGACCCTCGCAAAGAAGTCGTCGACGGGGGACGGAGGCTGAGGCTCATCTGCTACACCCATCGCTATCGTGGCGTTCCTAAGCCACACGTTGAATTGATCTCGCTCATGGTGGTAATCCTCAAGAATCAACCATAGAGGCTGGCAGATGAACTGGCATTCACATTCTTGCTGGCGACTAGGTAGCCAATAGCTGCATTGCTCGCAGGCGTTGTGAGGAACACCTCCGTTCGGCAACCACTCTCGGGCCCAGGATCGACCTGAGAGATAAGTAGTGAGGAAGTTCTTTGTATCCGCTTCTCTCAGTCTCCAGAGGAAGCGGCGGTAGCCCATGAACCTGTGGATGTCCTCCTGGACTTCGAGAAAGTCCCGCCACACTGCGAGCTCTTCTTCGATGTCTGCATCGTACGGGGCCTGGCATGCAACAGCGCGACGCTGCAGTGCTAGGAGAGGTTCACGCAGTCTAGGAGACACGCTCTCAGGATTGGTGTCTCCAAGGAAGTCGAATATGTCCTCAAGCCGTTCACGGCGCTCCTCAAAAGTGGGAAGGTTATGGGCGTCCATTTTGATATAACTGAGTTGGCCAAGACAGAATAGAAAATTGGAAATTTTGAAGAGAAGGGGGCTATGGTCGATTTTTGAGATGTTGGCCCGAAAGAATGGACTCGTAATGGAGAGCCTAAGACCTTTATATATATCTTTCTAAGTTCTCAAGGTCTCAACATGGTTATATGTGTCGGAGATAGGTACATTTGGCTGGCACTATAGTTCTCAACCCGTTGCGAGGTAGAGTTGGACTGTTGCGAATCAAGCCGTGCGCCTCTGCGGTCCTTATACGACATATATAAATCGCCCATAGAGCCTCATACATACATCACCATGTATTCCGCTAGGAATCTGATGGCTTCCATAGCATTTCTTTTTCTTGGTGGGAAGGTCACGGGTTTTCCAAATCTGCTCACATCGCGGCAAGGACTCCGTCAAGGTATCAGCAGCGAGGTACCCGGTATCTCCGATGAGCAGGCTTGGGCCCCAAAGTAAAGGATAATAATCGGGTGTGTCCATGAGACTACTGTGGTTTCTTGGTACTCGCCAACGTTGTTGTTGCTGTCCATTATGAGCTCAAACTCTAATGCATACGGAGCCTCCAAGCCTGACAACCATCCCTCAGTTTCGGAAAGCCTGCACGAGCTCATGCAGCTTGTCAATGACAACCGGAGCAATGGCTCCGAGAGTGTCTTCGATGATCCTCTCGAAGAACAGCATTGACTCCTCCTCTGTAAGTTCCAGGTGAAATCGTTCACGAACCTTCAGCACCGCCTTGTCAGGCTCAAGTCGAATGTCAGGAATATTCGCGTCCACCATCAAGCTAAACAAGTTGAGAATAAGATTGGAGGATTTACGCAAAGCAGTGTATGCCAGGAAGCAGTACTGCTTGAACTGTTTGAAGTGCTCTGAGTTGACTCCGCCCATACAGTCGACCATTTCCTTTGAGAGCTTCATGACCGGTGCAAATGGCTTTGGATCTCGGCCAAGAATGAATCCAAAATCGGCGTGGAAGAAATGGCCGTCCGGGGCGAGGAGAAGGTTATCCAGATGCCGATCGCCGACGCCTAGAATGTAGGTAATCACGCAGTATCCTGCGCAAGACTTGATATAGGTGTCCAGAGTTTCTTGACGTAGACCTAGGGGTTGCCGGTCGTCTGGGTTGTTGGATTTCAAGTAGGTCAGTGCTGGGTTGTTTCTGAATTTCGAAGCAATGCTTTGGAAGCTGACGGATGGAACAAATTGAGAAGCGCCTGCTGTTGTGCTGGTAGCCAGAATTTTGTAGGGAGACAGCTTCAAATCCAAATTTTCTTTCTGCAGTAGTTGGTCCATGAGAGTAATGATTTGAATGACCAACTGGTCCTGGCGCAGGTCGTCACCAGTCTTGAAGATGATGGGATACTTCTTGCCGGTGCTAGTTTTGAAGGTGACCTTGATTGGGCAAAGAGATGACTTAAAGACCGTCGTCTCGTCAGGTACCACCCCGACCACTAGCATAGTAGGGTCGAGCGGCAAAGGCAATGGCGGGTCAATTGTCAGAATTTCATTCTTTGGATCTGCCAAGAAGTGTTTGACGCGGTCAGTCTTTTTGGCGATGGATTCGTGTGACGTTTTGACTTCCCCAGAAATCTTGGACAAGATGGCAATCAACTCAGCCTGTCCCAAGAGTGTTTTTCTCGATTCGACTCCATCCGGTTGCTTCACTAGTTCAGTCATGAAGTCGTAGGCCACCTTTCGGTAGATGTTGCGGTTATCCAATCCCTGCTCTGGGCTATGATCGTCGCATTCGACCATCAGGTACCAATGGAAGTAGTTGCCAAGAAGGAAGTTACCGGCTGCTCGGGATATCAAGAATTGAGCCAGAGACGAATCATGAATGGCCTCCTGGGAAGAGTCGGCCTGGATATGCTCGTATTTCAAGGCTTGCACCAATTGCAGCAGATAAAGGAGCAGCTCATGATCATCCGCCTTACGTAGTCTTTCCACAGCATACGCTCGAACAGCTTGGTTGTCGAAGGTGGGGCCAAGCAACTCTAAAGCATCGTCGACGTCGATTTCGGTCCAGCGTCCCAAGACTTGCACTGCCTGCTTGGCTTCGCTTTGATCCTGCCAGTTGACTGATTTCACAAACTTGGTAACAGCCCGTTTGTCTCGAGTGAGATGATAGCGGAATTTCCAGATTAAATCCTTCTCCTCCGGGGTCAACGTGTGCGTTGGCGAATACGACATGATGAGATTCAGCTCATCTCGGACCTTGGCATTTGGTTTGAGATCCTTGTCGAGAACCCCGTGGCGATGCTGACTTCTGACAAGCCTTCTGTGCTTGCTTTCGGCTGGATTGTCGCGAGCACCAACCTCAGGGTCATAAACCTTCATCAATCGACTCCCAGCTGAATCGTCAAGCGCGTCGATACCAGGACCAAACTGCACTTCGGGCGGCGGCTTCAACATTACGTTAGACTGAGAAGCAGACACATGCTGAAGCGCCGAAATCGGCGGAGGATCATATTCTAGGTCCGCAAATACAACTGGGAAGTCGAATCGCGGCAGCTCCACGTTGAGCTGGAACTTGGAAAACCCAGGATGGGATTCGGTGTTCACGATACCCTTGTCGTCTGAAGTTCCCTCCTTTTCGGTCGATGCATCTCCATTTGTCGTCCTCTGGCGTTGCATAGTCTTGAGTGATGCTTTTGCCGATTGTAGTCCGCGCTTCTCAAAGCCACGGAATACAAGCTGATCAAGCCAGTCGACTCTAGGTATCTCGCCCATTTCGTGTTTCTTGAATAGCTTCTCCATGCGCTCCAGCTCTTCAGCATCCTTATCTACCGTTGGAGTGGCTCCTTTCCTCGAGCCGTCCCGTTTCTTCCGCGGAACCGCAGGCGTAGTGGTATTGTCATTCCCATCGGCGTTCTTGTGTCGGTGGACCATGCATTTCTGCCGGCCCTTCTGCACCTGATTGTCTCGGTCGAACAGTGGGAGCGTTGTGCCGCCGAAGGGGATCGCATGGCCTCTCGCTTGTTTTCCACCAGCTGGTGATGAGTCCCATAATGTGATGGCTAAGCAGGAGTTTAGAGGGAGGGTTTTGTAGTTGATCGGCAGAGTGAGCCATTCGTTCCATCTACGCGCGCTCCGCGTCAGAGGTCTTTTCCCAGGATCATCCACCAGACGTAAGGGGCGCGACTTACCTCCTCTCATTGCGAAACGATTTGTATGCCGTCTGGATAGGTACTGTCAACGGCTTCGAGCCAGCCCATACTTGCACGGTGACGTAGAGATCGGAGTGCGAGCTAGCAAGTTAGCGATGGCGACCAGCAGCCGTACGAAAGGTATTACCTTGTGTTAGAGCCGATATGTCTCAGCTCGGCCTTTTCCAATAAAGTGGAATGCAGGAATGGTGTTTCGTCGCCCTCTAGATTAATACTATCACGGCAGCGTCAGTCACGCGCATTATCCGGGTTGGGAACGACGCAGGAGCTGGGCGCATACATGCGGATGCTGACTGGATAGTCTAGAGACTCGGAGCTGGCAAATGAAAATGGCTCCATTGTGAGGATAGGAGCTCGTACGAAGAGGTTATGAGTCCATCATGCAATGAAGTAGGCAAGTTGCAGAATGTCGTTCGGCGAATGCGACAGACAGCGGTTGCATGTGTTTGTGGGTAGGTAGCGCAGGTTGAGGTCACTGACTGCACCAGACTGGATAAGCACTGGTAGGCGGCAGCTGACTGTAGGAAGCTCCAGTGGAGTGCATTAGGCAGTACATCCCAGCATGGGCTAGCAAGCTGTAGATTTCTGTCGTCTGCGACCCCCGCCTCAGCCACATGTCTCCAGACCTACCTATATCTTATCGATAAGCCCGTCATCCTCAGCCACATTCACCCCACGCACGTATGGGTGCGATAACGATTGTTGGAGCGCGTTGAGTGGAAGGGTCGCCTGGGAAGTGCCTGTCGCGTCTTCCATGTCCAGTCGCAAATTCACGCGTGAGATCCTGCACAACCACCCGAACTCGTCATCGAACATCGTGCAGAAGGCGCACTCTTTGGTTCTACGCCAGGCCCTACCTCATATCAAGCCAAAATCCTCGACGACCACAACACCGAACACACAGCAACTCCTCAACAAGCAAACCGGTCAACATCGAGAATGCCGGCGAGAGTTGGAGGCTCGTCCTCCCCCGAGTCGAGCGAAGATGATGCGCCCCGTCCTGCACGCGGTCATCTCGCCGCGAAAGACAAAGGCAAAGGCCGCGATGTCTCCATTGGCAAGCGGAAACGTACAGACACGGAAAATGGGGGTCATGCCGCACGTCGCCGAGCTACGCGCTCCGTTGAGAGAGAAGAAGAAGAAGAGGAAGAAGAAGAAGAAGGATACGACTCGGACATCTATGACCCAGACCAACCAATGGAAGAACGTCGAGAAATCCAACGAAAGCTCCGAGACCTTCATAAGGGCATCAACGAAAACATGGAAGAGTACATGCTGCCAGGCTCAACGGGTCTGAAGGATACCTTGATGATGGCTCAGCGCGTTGCTAGGGGTGTGAAGCAAACTACGGAGGCGACAATAGACTCTCGCCTGCTTGTCAGCGCCGTCGATATGTCGTACCGCAAAACCGTGAGGTTGATGCAGGGAAGCTCCACCGAGGGTGTCGATGTGGATGAGTTCGTCTCCAAGTGCTGCACCTACATGCGGCAAGCCGGTGGAATCGCAGACGACGAGGCGCCAGAGCTATCCGGTACACAAAGACGGAGACGCCGCACCAATAACAATACACGCGATGATGAGGATGAAGGGAACGACGAGGCCTTCAACTGGAGCCATCTCGGACGCTTCGCTTCCTTACCAAATGTTCGTCGGCCAGCCTTGCCCGGCTTTCTCCTTGGTCCCTTGTCCGTTGAGAAGAAAGTACGCAAGATCTCGAAGCGCACCGCCCCCTTCAGACCCAATAACCTGGAAGAGACGAGACCCGAGGTGTTGAATGTCGAGGACCTTGCCAAGAAGGAGAATGATTTGACCGCTATCTGCGGTAAGATTCTGAAGCAGCTGGACAAGGTGCAAAGCAGCATTCAAACGGAGCTCTCTGAAATATTCGAAAACACCGAAATGGACGACGCCGAGCAGATTCAACTCATGCAGAAGTACGGTCTACGGGATACAGGCGGTGTTGACCTACTTCGTTTCGTTGTCAACCCCAAGTCCTTTGGCCAAACGGTGGAAAATATGTTCTACGTCAGTTTCCTCATTCGTGATGGAAAGGTTGGCATCGAGTTTGACAGCGACGAGTACCCCTCTCTCAGTAAGCCGGTCATCATCTGAACATGTGACATTGATTGTACTGACTGGACTTCAGATCCCATCAGCAATGGAGACGCAAACGAGGACGGCACAGTCAAGCGTGAGACAGCGAAGCAGCAAGCAATCTTTTCCATGGACATGCAAACATGGCAAGATATCATTGACACATTTGAGATTAAGGAGCCGATGATCACCCATCGGAAAGAAGCAACAGCGCAAGGTCCCGGTGCCAGGGGATGGTACAATTAGAGAAAGACAAAACGGCGTATCTGGCGTTTCGGCATAGCATCTTAGTTCCGTCGTTCACTGGTGCAGGACGATATAGAATACCAGGTCAAAATGTTGCAATGGAGTTTTGTGGGAGGTTTTACAGAACGAAGGATTGGAGGAATATTCCCAAGGACGCCAGTATGGGGGAATTGTTTGACCTACCTAGCAATGAATTAATGGGGCAGCTGACGCCCTCCGCAGCATCACGCTCTGGGCCGTCCCCGACTTGCCGAAACTTCAGAACGGGCTTGCTAACCTTGTGTTATGTCATAAGGTAAGGTACCAAGAGGTCATTGAGGCGAAGACGAGGTAGGGGAACCGGCCACAAAGACAGTCTAAGATTCCAAGGGATGTGCACGTCCGCAAGTCTTTGACCAACTCCAGAGTACTCATTGTTGGTCCACGCTCCCTTATTCAACATTGAGCCTTTGACTTGTTATTTCCAGATTCCGGTTTGTAAGCTTTGTTGAGAGTTGAATGGGAGTTGCACTGACCAGGGCAGTCTGATCCGCAAACGGACGCATTATCATCTCCCTCGATTTGGGAGAATCTGCTCCTCCCTAGAAGTCGAATGCTTGTATCATGTCGATGGAATGACTTCGAGTATGCTTCCTACTTCGGGACTCCTCAAGGCCAACTCAATGTTCGCCATCCCAAAGACAACCTATGGCATAAGTACGGCGTGCCCGCATAGATCAAAGACCTTTGGGCAGCTTTTGTTGTTTTCATTCCTCTTCTTATCTTTCTCTATCTTGTTTTCCTTGCTGTTTTACATCATAGATCATATGAGAGAATTTGTAAGTACACCTTGCTTGAAAACTGACATACTTGGCACCGAGAGAGATGGCTGGGGAGATGGGCGATGAGGTTCCCGAGAGTGAGGTGACCCGAGGTCGAACGATTTCTCGGGAGGAACCTCCAACTACAGCAACATCTGCGAAAGATGAGCTAGATGTGCGGGCTTCATCGGACCAGGGCTCCGGACAACCTCCAGCAAATGGAGAACAACAGCGAAGTGGAAGCAGGGCGTCCACATCATCAGCGCCTCGCGGTGACTCGTCAAACACAGCAAAACCTTCCAGAGTCTCCTGGGCCGCTTTGGCTGGGAAGGGTATCACTGGAGCGAAGTTGGATATGCGGAGCGTGGCAAGCCCTTCGCGGGATGGTCTCCCAATACCAGCTACGCCCGTATCAGCCATACAGGATGTGTCTTCTGGTCGTCCTGCAGGCGAAGCAGGGATTCCAGTAAGTCGAGGTCTAGACGAAGGACTGCTGTCAGATTCAGCTTCCGGAAGCTCAAGCGTCTCCCGGCGCAATGGTTCAGTATCCAGGGGCAGGCGTCGCAACCCCGGCGTTTCCAGGGGCACTATTCCCGTTCAGCAAGCAAGGCAGCCAAGCCGCCCGAAGAGTCCGGCTCCAACCACCTCCGAGTCGACTCCGCTAGCCAAACAAGAAGGCGAGGAAACTCAATCGAGCAATCCAGCACCAACTGCGGAGCTAATTGAGTCGACTGAGTCGAAAGGGCTCGAGGATGTGAGAAACTATTTAAGAGGCCTCGCGGAATCACACGGCATTTTTCATCTAGTCAACAAGGAGCCGGCGCCCATAACATGCGAGCAACTCTTGAAGAATTTTGCCTCAAAGGTCTCCGAAGAATGCAGTACGTGGCAAGAGAAGCTTCAGATCGAGAGTTCAAAACTTGAGGCCTCGACGCAAGCACACACGCAGCTTGAGGGGGAAAAGACAGCATTGCAACAGATCGTGGCAACGCAAACTGACAAACTTGGCGAACTTGGCCCACTTGAGCAAAAGGCACGAGATCTCGAGGTGCAGTTCACGAAGTGTATCAACGAGCGAGACAAACTCAAGTCGAGCCTGGAAGCAAATCAAAACCAGCTCAAGACAGCTCAGAATGAGTGCAACGAGAAGGAGATTGCACTCCAGCACCGCACAGCAGAGCTCAATGAAGTTCAATTGCGCATTCAACAAATGGCTCCTCCAGTGAACGAGGAAGAGCTTAAGAGTACCATCTCTAAGCTGCGTGATCAGCTCAATGCCGAAATGTCAGCCAGGGCGACAGCGGAGCGCAAACTTGAAGAAGAGAAGGGCGTGTGGCAGGCGAAGGAGAAGCGGCACGAAGAGGACGTTTCTTATATGGAAAAGCAGTTGGTTGACCACCAAAAGCAAGTCAAGGAAGCGCTAGCCACGGTAGAGAGCCTTCGGAAACAATTGACGGACCAGACCAGGAAAGTCTCCCAAGCCCAAATCGAGGTGGCAAACATGACTTTCACCGTCGACCACGAGAATGTTCCCCTTGCCGAATATCGCAAGCTCGTCGACAATGCGAGGGGCGAGGTTTCAGACTTGGAGATGCGACTAGCCCAGGCAGAGACGGAACGCGACGAGGCACTGAAGCAAGACGTTCCCATGAACGATATGCGGGACATCATCGGAGAGGTTGTCGGTTTCTACGGCCTCGCCATGGACGATGCCGCCAGCAACCTGTACAGCAACTGGCGGGAAGAGGAAGCTAGGCTAGCGGACTTGGTGTGCGACGGTAACGACGGCTTCCGTAGATACCCTCATGCCGTCGTGCTTTCCGACGAAAAGCCTTCGCAGTCACTTTCTGATGATCTGTTCTCGCCTCCCAAGCGGACTTCTGGGGCGGCGGCTTCGAAATGTGAAGAATCGCAGACCGAGAGCGAGCCTGAAGAGAGGCTTAATCTCGCGAAGGAGCTTGGAGAATTCAACAGCCAGTCCTCCGCGGTAAGCTGAATCGAACCTCGCAAGATTGGATGGAATTACTAATTGGATTCATAGGAACCGGAAGAGAACCAGGGTAGCCCCGATCGCACACTACAGACAATCGAGGATGAACTCAGCAGACTCGATAGAATTTCTTCGGCAGTGAGTTCAAGCAGCTCCATTCTTGAGGCGATACTGACCAGTACTCAGGGGTCCCAGGGAAGCAAGGTTGGCCAAGGGGACGTGTCCCTTGAGCTACGCAATACCAAAGTCGCATTGGATGAGTGCCAGCATCATCGTAAGGAAGCCGACAAGGAGATAAAAGACCTCAAAGATGAGGCCAAGAAGCTTGTTTATGAGATTGCGGAGCTCAAAGCAAGCGCTCGGGTGTTGGAGCAGACCATCGAGGAGCACGAATCTAATGCTGAACGAACGAAGGGAGAAGCCAACAGACCATCTGCTATCCAGGCGGGCGACGAACAAGACTTCGAGACCAATCGCAAGGAAACCGACGAGAAGATCAAGAACCTGGAAGTTTTGCTCCAGCAACGAACAAAGGAGCTCAAGAGGTCCCAGAGGAGGGAACAGTTCATGTCGCAGGTCTCTGAGCAGCTCAAGGGGCAGTTAAGCGCTGTCCACGACAGACTGGGCAAAGCTGAGGCCAAGGCTATGTACGCCTGCGCGCGAGAAAAGTTGGCGCAAGAAAAGGTGGCACAAGAGGCTGCCACAGCGGACGGATCGAGCACAGGTGCGAGCTCGCTGGACGACCCGGGAGAACACCTCCAGCTGGTGGCCGACCTGATAGACCGCGTGGACAAAGCGGAAAGCGAGCAGGCAGCGAGCCGCAGAGATCTGCAATTGATCCAACAGATGGTCGCAGGCCTCCATGAGGATGCCAAGAATCTTCGGGAGGAAAAAAACAGCCTGGCTCTTGAGAGGAACCAGCTCCAGGAAGAAAAGGTGGAACTATCCCAACAGAGAGACGCATTGAAGGAGGATCTCAAGACGTACATGGATTCTGCGGACGAAGTTGCAGAACAAAACGTCAGGCTCCTGGAACAACTACGAGAAATCGAGCAGGAGATGAGGAAGAAGATTGAGGAGATCAAACGCAAGGACGAAGAAATCCAACACAAGGATGGGAAAATACGAGAAAATGATCTTTTGCTCAAGGAAAAGATGCAGGAGTTGGAGGCGAAGCAGAAGGCTCTCGACGAATGCCACGAACACGGCGAGCGCCTCAATGCGGAAGTACGCACAGTTGAAGAAAAGGTGGTCGAATTCCGGAATAAATGGAGCTTTGCAAATCAAAGATACGACAGTGAGCTGAAGAGGCGTCTCATAGTGGAGCAAGAGGGTGTCGACCACCTCGAAAACATGATCAAAGGCAAGCTAGTTGAGAAAGACAAGGAATTGCGAGAAGAGTGGATGGCGGAACACAACAAAACCGTCGAGAGGTTGGAGAACGAGATTCAGACCTTGAGGAGGAGAGCCGAGGTGGGCGAGACTGAGCTGGAGAGGACCAAAGCTACGCACCAGGAAGTGGCGGATGGCCTCGAGTCCAAGATCCGCGACCTGGAGAGCCGCAATTCAGCTGCTGGCGAGGGTGCTGATCCGACAGAGATCGAAGCTCAACAGAAAACAATAGAGGAGCTCAAGCTCAGAGTTCAACATCTAGAGAGTCGGAACCAAGCGCCTGACGAGAATGCTGATCTAGCTAAGATCAAAGATGAACATCAGAAGACGGTGGATGCCCTCGAACTCAAGATCCAGAATCTGGAAGAGGACCACCGGAGGGAGTCGGCTGGACTCGAAAGACAAGTCCTCTCTCTGACGAGCGAGAACGAAGGCTTGACACGGGTCTTGTCGGGCACGGCCGTGCCGAGCGGGATCATGATCTCTCACCAGGGCACGCAGACTCACTACGCGCCGCCGGTCGAGAGCTGGACGCGGAACCCCGATCATCAGCCGCCCATCGAGGGGACTTCGGGGACGACATCAGGCACCCAAGGCCCCCCTCCTGAATTTAGAGTCATGCACCAGCAGTTCCAAGATGCATTCAAGAGCCTGATACGAAAGCAGTCGGCCACCGCTGACAAACTTGATTCCTTCTTCAAGACGTTGTGCGACACACTTGGGAAAATGGAGCTACCAGAAAATCCTGACGAGTACGAGGTTGACCGCCTAGTAGAGCTTCGTGACGCCTTCAACGAAGCTCGTACTAAAATGTACGAATTAGGCTTGCAGAAAAGGCACTTTTTTGAGACCAACATTGAGAACTACCCGGACGAGCTGTACGAATTCGCGCAGAAGATTCACATGTACAAAGAGAGGCTCGAGCGGATCGAGGCCAGGGCGGCCACCACGGCGGCCAACACGATAGCCAACGCGACAGCCAACGAGAATAGCGGCGGGAACAACGCCGGCGGGAGTGATGGTGACAGCCAACCTCATCAGTCCGAGGCTGGCGACTGGGTGACTGCCAGCAGTAGCGAAACTCCTTCTGGCGGCGACGATGATGATTTCGATATAGACGGACCGGACCCCGGTGACGATCCAAAGAAACTCCGCAAAGCCATTGTCGCATTGGAGAGGATGAGGGATGAGGCCGATGCAACCCTAGCGCAAGAGGGGAGGATATTGCGCAGGAACATCGCTCATTACGGCGGGATTTTCAACCGGCTATACCAAGATCTCGGCAACCCGCGCGAGCCAGCCCGGCAGATCCAACGAGAACGGAGGGCCGTGGGACAAGCCGTCAGAGACCTGGCTGGCTCGGAGGCCACCGTCGCCGGGCCAAGCTCAGCCGCCGGCACCCAGCCGAACGTCGCCGAACCTCCACTGCCCCCGGACCCTTCATTGAATCGTTCATCAGAGGACCTGGACAAGTGGAGAGGGAAGAAGAAGGCTTACAGATTCCCCGACGACGGCGATCCAGGAAGTTCGGGCGACAGCACCGTCGATGGAGACATCGATCAGTATGGGTCACCCAAGCGGACTCCTTGGGAGGCACGCGTATATGCCATCCGAGAAATATTGACACAAACATATCGGGAGCAACGTGCTTGCATGTACGCTCGAAATGCCATCATGCAGGCCACGCTGAATCTGCAAGTCGCCGATGATCCCGTCCGTAACCAGCCAGGACCGACGCCTTCCGGCGTTTCTGCCAATCCGCTCCCCAGCGCACCCGCGGATCAAGGAGGCCCAGGGTCTTCTCAGGCGGGACCATCGTCTACTGCCGCGCAGCCAGCCAGCCCGGACAGCCAGGACGACGAGTCCCGGCGGGCATTCCAGAGTCACAACGCCTTTGACGACCTCGTAACCGAAATTTCCTCGCAGGCATCAAGTGATTTTTTCAATTTTCCCACCACGGATCGAATCCTACCCTCCTACCTTCCGAGAAGCATCTGGGACCCCCTGAATGATTGGTCCATGAGTTGTGAGAATGTCCAAAGCAATCTTGAGCGTCTCAACTATGCCATCGAGGGCCTCATCCACGACGGCATCAACTCTCAAAACTACGAGTTCCTGCGCAGCAGAGCCCGACAGCTCAAGATCATGCTTGAAAAGGCCAACGCGACAATTACCGCCCTCAAGGCGAGGGAGGTCAACGAGTTCGTAGGCCGGTCTGACAATGAGCTCGCAGAAGAGGCGCAGCGACTCAAGAAAGAGAACAAAAGCTTGGAAGAGAAGCTCGAAGATTTTAAACAGATAGCCGCGAAGCGACAAAACGACGAGAGGCTCAAGCGGTTCGCTGCAGATGCCCGCGCATCGACTTTGGAGAATATGAACGAAAAGCTGAAAGAGACTATCAGCAAGCTAGAAAAAGGCAAGAAACAGGCCATTGATGACGGCGTGGACAAGGAGATCCGTGAGACGGTGTACTACTACGAAGAGCAAAAGAAGGAAACTGAAAAGTTGAAACGCGAGATCGCGAAGCTGGAGAAGAAGCTTGCCGAGGAGCAGTCGACGAAGAGCGCCGTGTTCGATGGTACCGTCGAAACCATTAAGGACCTGCAAGAAGAAATCCGCCAGCTGCGGAGGGCCAACGAAAAGTTGGTAGACAGAGGCAGGACGTTGGCGACCGACATGGAACGGGCTCTGGACGTCACGGCGGGTACATCGGGAACCGACGCACAGAAGTTGGCCCGGATGCGACAGCGCATCACCAACGCTCTACATCTGGACGTCCCCGACTACCAAGAAATCGAAGATTTCCCACTTGAGGCGGTGTCGGAGCGAGAGCAGGAGTTCGTTGACGCAATGAAGGAGTACGAGAGGCAGTCGAAGAACCTGCGAGATCTCAACGACCGACAAGTCCGCCAGCAAAAGCGAGATTTTGACGACCGGCTGGCTAAACGAGACGCTTCTATGAAGCTTCAGCAGTCCAAGTTGAGAGAGATCTTGGCTTCTCAGAGGCAGCGGCTCAGGTTGTGCGAGACGGAGTTGGAGGCCGAGAGAATGCAGCTCCAACATGCCAAGAAGAGGATGGCACTGATGGAGAAGCAGCTGCAGGAGCAAGCTCGTGTCAACGTGGATTTGATGATTGACCAAGATGAGAATAACTTGAAGGCTACTGAAGAGGGGACATCTGGAGAAGAGCCTGAGGAAGATAAGAAGGATAAGGGGAAACAGCGCGCAGGCGCACCCGGTGGTCCTGATGGTGATCCCGACGACGGCGACGATGATGATGACAACCACGGTGAAGGTTCCAGCGGCGGTCCTCGAGAACCCGGCAAGAAGCGGACAGGAAGCGGCAGGATGTGTGGCTGTCCCTGCCTTGGGGCCTGCGATTCAGCAGGCAGGCCGATAGCGGCTAGACAAGAAGTCATCCACGACCTCGTCACGTTTTACGCCAAATACAGACGCTGCTGTGGTCGTAAAGCCAACATGAGGAGCGCCGCAAGCCAAACGACCGCCGAATCCGCCTCCGGAACGGAGACGGCGGAGGTCCCCGAAGACGACGGCCTTCTCCTGGTGCGACTGGCCGGCCTCCTGCACATGGACAGCGACACGAGAAATCGAATCGAGAACCCGCGCCTGAGCTACCTCGCGCGCCTCCTCCTCGCCTTCTGGAGCTGCATACGCATCCACGGGGTCGCGTGGAAGCAGACGCTTTACTGGCTGGTCGCCGGGAGCCTTTACTCGGCCGTCTACTACCTACCCGGCAGGCGCTGGAGGCCGGGTCCGCCAACGACTCCGTCGCCCAAGCTCGTGGCGCTGGCGATCAAGGACGCGATCACCTTATACTGGTTCTACTACTTGTACCAGGCGCTCATGGCGACGTGGGCCGTGCAGCAGGTCTACGATATGGCCAACGGGTACACGAGGGCGTACTATGTCGAGAGGGCTCTGCATCCGGAACGGTCCAGGTGGTGGGGTCTCGACGGGATCGACATGCGGCTTTCTGGGTTCTCTACGACAGAGCCTCCTGCGCCTGTTACTACTGACGATGGGGCGGCGGGCATCAGGAGGGGACTTTGAGGTTTGGAGGAGAAAAGAAATGCGTGAAAGTTTGTGCCCGTGGAAGGCGCGGGAGGCGGAGGACGGCAGATGAGAGGGTATCCCTCGGAAGCGTCTTGGCGGGGTATCTGTCAGTAGACGGAGATTTTTGGCAGTGAGCAAAGTTGCGTGTGGTAGAAGCTTTTCGTCTGATGATGGGCAAACGATAAACGGTGTTGCGTGTGCATGTCCGGGAAGTCTGCATGGAGCAATTGTTCGGATCGTCGGTTTAGGGTTCCACGGAGTTCAACGGTGTCGGGAAGTTTCTGTGACTTGTTGTATTTGCTTACCTCATGATTGAATTGAGAGTATTGGTTCACTGGTTGTACGGATGAATACTGTTTTGGGAAATAGCAAAGGCAAAGAGATTTTGAGAACCATGGCATCATTTACCAGTCGACGATCCGTGTGTCCGCTCTTGACAAGGTCTTGACAGAAAACGAGAACGAAAGGGCTTTGCGTGACTAGCTGAACCGACCAGTGAGTGACCATTGAACAAACTGACGATGACCTCCGCTCAGCTCTGCGACGCATGATTTGGAATTCGGGGAACCAGGCCCATGTCGTGTCATTCACGTCCAATTTCCAGTTCCGTCCCGGGACCCTGGGCCACCATGTTATCTGCAAAAGAGAGAAGGAAAGATGGAAAGAAGCCGCACTTTACGGGGCGGAAAAGGGCCTAGCGCCCCGGGCGCCCCGCTCTCCAGAAGATTCCCACTTTCGGTCTAGTCCGGCGTCTGTGCCTCGGCCCCGTACCTGTTCTGTTTTGAACCTCTTGCTCTGCAACGGAGCGACTCGTCTCCCCGGTTCCCATAAAAAAGGAAAGGAATCGGAGGAAATGTTTCGCGGAACCGCAAGCGCGCCTGCATGCTGGCAGCTGGAGAACGTTTTGGATTACCAAGACAAGCAAGTTAAGTGAAGGAACTAGGAAGGAGGATCCCGTCACCCGGCCCGGCACTTGCTGCATCAGCGGACCAGCACATCGAACTCCATTCGTTCGGGGCCTTGAACGGCGTCTACGATCCGCCGTCCCCGATTCTACCTCGGCCGCGAGATACCAAGCCGAGTAATATCGAGCTCTTTTCTGGAATTGGAGCTTGGGGTTAGCAAAAGACACTATTATGCTATTACAGATGGCTGCTGGCGCCTGGCTTACTAACAGCGCGGCAGTGTTAGTTAGTGTAGGGCGCAATGGAAGATGTCACTCTGATGCGGTTCCACCTCGCACCACCCGACCAGTGATGTCATGACTTGGGGGGGCCACGCCCAGCGCCTGTCAGTGGGCTGTGGTGGGAAACAACGTTCTGACTGACAGCAACCTGCAGAAGCACCCGCCGCGGCTGGTCCGGAGACCCAACTGACCACCCATCGAACACCAATTTGATATATTCGCATTCGCATGTCAATCCAAACTGTTTGTACAGAGACTTTTCGCTACAGCCAGAGGCTGATCGTCAGTCGACATCAATTACACATTGAGATTGAGGGCCTACGGATACAGCAAGACACAACCAGAAAGCGGAACAAAGATTGGCAGACAAAGGGCAAAGCTTGCCGAAACAAGAATAGAAGAAGAGTTCTGGTTTGGTCTGGTCCTACCAAGAAGTTCATAGGACAGCTGGAAAGAAAAAGCTCGGCCGACCCGAACAAGGCATTCGAATCTCATTTCCCATGCGCCGGTCACCCCATCGGATTCCATGAAACGTCTTCTCCCCCGACTCAGCACCATTTCCCGACCACACCCGGACGATCTCTCTCCTGCGCGGAACCCATCCCAATCACCTATCAAACCGTTCCCAGGTCACCTCTTGAAAAAAACTGGCGAGCCCAATTTGCTGACGGCATCCCCCACTCCCGCGCCCTCCCACCTCCCCAATTCTAGAACGTCGTCTCCCTCGGACTTGGACCCTTACCGTAAGGTACATACATCGAATTTGAAATGGTACGTGCTTTTTTAGCTTGTGAACTTGCCTCATCCCAGCAGCCCGCCGCCCGCCATTACCTCATATATAGGTAGTCGATCACCCTCCTCACTGAGCACACAACTCATAAAGGGCTTCAAGATTTGCTATTTCGCACCTCGTCACGCACGTTCGCATTTCTAATCACGTTCCTCATATAGAGACTATCAAGATACCCGGCTATAACAGCCCACGCCCGCACCCTCAACCCCTCACGCATCCATCGCAGAGCATTTACAGCAACTCATAACCCACAAGCTCGTTCCCAAGCGCAAGAATCAGCAGGAGGGACCTCATCTCATACCAACAACACAAACACCAATTCGCAGTCACCAACCCAGGGCCAACACACCCTCGACTCGCCAGAGCAGCAACTCAAAGATAACCACACCAACCCCCTCAAATCCGCCAAAGACAAAGTTCACAATCTCACAATGTCTTCAAAACTCATCCCCCAAAACCCGGCAGACGTCATGGTCATCCGCGACCTGACCCCAAACATCACAACCTTCTCCGTCCCCTTCTCCCGCTTCGGCACCCTCAAAATCGGCGGCCGCGCAACCCTAGTCCGCCTCACCTCGGGCTCCCTCGCCGTCTTCAGCCCCGTCGCCCTCACCGACGCCGTAAAAGCCAAAATCGCCGAAAAGGGCGGCAACCTCGCCTACATCATCGCCCCCGACATGGAGCACCACATCTTCATCTCCGAATACAAGGCCGCCTACCCGCAGGCCAAGATCATCGGCCCTGACGGCCTGCCGCAGAAGCGCGCCAAGCAGACGGGCGACCCCAAGATCAACACGTCGGACGAGTTCTTCGTCGTCTTCAAGGACGGTGCCGAGAAGCGCAGCACCACCATCACCCCCGAGTTTGACGCCGACTTCGAGTACGAGTACGTCGACGCCCACGCCAACAAGGAGCTCGTCTTCTACTTCAAGCCCGAGCGCGTCCTCATCCAGGCGGATCTGCTCTTCAACTTGCCCCCGCGGGAGCAGTACTCCAAGGCGCCCGAAGGCGAGCGCGACACTTCCTCCGGCTTCGGGAACAAGCTGTTTGGCGGCCTGCAGACTACCGAGGGCGACGTCAAGTGGGTGAAGCGCTTCCAGTGGTACGTGATGAGCAGCAAGAACAGGCCGAGCTTCAACGAGAGCATCCAGAGGATCGATGCGTGGGACTTTGATACGCTCATCCCTTGCCACGGAGATACGATCCAAGGCGATGGAAAGGAGAGGTTCAGAAAGGTGTTTGAGTGGCACCTGGCTGGTACCAAGAAATAGGGTAGGAACCGGTGTTTTTTCTTTTGATAATGGGGACAGGGGGTGATGATTTCATGGTTTGCATGACGGCGCTTTTGTTTACTTCAGCTCGATACCACGTTAGAAACTAATAACACTCATATCACAAGCAATATGCCCTGGTTCAGGGTACAAATGGCTTTGTTCTCGTGGGAGCACTCTGGAAGACACAAGTTATTCTGGCCGATGAAAGTGGACCAAACTCGTTTTCTCAGTGGATGTTCGTGTAGCCCTTCTGCCTCTATCGTCCGAGTCCTAACAATGTGATTGGGGAGGTGGATTTGTGATTCATAGCCCCCTCAGGAGTGATACGAATCTCTTTCATCCTCCTCCGTTCTGTCCTCTTCTCTTCATAAACCCCCACCGTCAGTGACTGACAAGAAATGCCGCTCCCCAATCCATCAAACAATGCTTCAGTTCTTAGCGTGTTACGTGGTGACAGTATGTATGCAAATGGAGTGGGTTTGCGATCTGATTCGAGTCGAAGAGTCGACGAGAGGTGAGGCTCAAGGTTTGGGCCAGGTCTTAGCCGGATCTTGGGGTATCTTCGTGAAAGATTCTTCGATCAGCTTGCTTCTCATATCCACAGTATTGATCGATAGAACGGGTATTCCATGTTTGCTGCTGGATTTGGCGTATCGAGCAGACCACCAGACCATCAGGTTCGACAGGTTGTGATACCTGGACAATGCACTCGTCACCCAGGCAGCAGCGTCGGGGCGCCTCGCATCAATATACAAGATCCAAGCGGCCTCGCTAACGATGTATCCCAGAGCAGATCCTGCGCACCTCGGGTGCGTGAAGACCAAGTCGATGAGATTGATAGCCAGGAGCTTGCTCTCGTAAGACCACAGCGCAGTCACCATTCGCTTCTCAATGGTGAGCATGATCAACAAAGCCTCCAGCCGATTGGCGAGGTCCCAGAGCCGGACATGCAGCACCAAATCGGCCTTGGGGCTTTCCAATCAGTGGTGCCTTTGTAGATGTAGTCGAGGAGGTGACGCATAACCTCCGGCTCAACGTCTTCGAAATAGACCACGCCGTAAATGTTCTCCTATGCGGTGTGTAAGTTCTCAATTTATAACGCAAATCATTTGGAAAGTAAGACCTTGAAGCTGCTATTGAAAAGTTTTTCAAAATACTTGGAGTAGATGGCGAGCATCATCTTGTGAACGTGAAACTCCTTGCCTCGACAGATGAGCTTGAAATCCGATAGCTTGCCGGTTTCAAGCATCCACCTATGATCCTCTTTTGCCATCGTGCAAGCCTTTCCAGTCGGGTTGACGGAGTAAAGGGAATGGTCTGTGGCAAGGGGGTGTGAGATATTGGGGGAAGAAGAAAGAGGTTGAGTAGTGGGAGCGTTTTGCCGCAGGAGAAAAATGAGAAGTGTGGGAATGGAAGGTAATAGACGGTTTCCAAACGAAGAATTCAATGGAAGCCCGCGCTGAATTTGCCCGGGCTAGTGATGAGAATGCAGGTGCGATGGTCGAAGTGTGCAAGGAAGGAAAGGGGGAGAATGGGGGTCAGGTCCTTCCCGCTCGACAAGACGCTGCAGATGGGTATCTGATTGATGATTTAAGTTGCCTTACGGCTCTTTCTATCATGAAGAAGAGCCAAAGCAATATGTTTGTCAATAAGTATTTGCATGCGATAGGGCCACATCAATCGCAAGCAGTGCAGTTCATTGACTTGTATGATTGCAGACGTCTCATGTACTAAGTGGTGGCCTAGCGTTGCGGATTGACAACGCCAGTCCAACACAGGATCTTTGGATTCTTGCAGGGAGTTCTCTGTTCGATTCTGTAAATACCATGCGTGAGGGGGGCCATATACAGACTCATTGCATTGTGACGACTTCTTAGTTACCTATCTGACGCTCTGTGGGTTTTCGCTGCTTTCCCGCAACAAAGCAAGACTCTCATCTGGTTCGGTTCAAGTCCTGATGCGTTTGGAACTTCTTCGCAGAGCCTTGGCTAAGGCTGCTTTATATGCCATGATCTTCGGCGCCGGTGTATCAAGGTCATGAGGGAGGGAGGGGGGAATCCCTTGTTGTAAGTCGCGATCATTCATAAGCACTTATTTTGTTCGTCATCCACTGTCCTCCAGAAGATCCTAATCGTGTAGATCTAGAACCTGTCGAAGCTTAGGAGCTGGTTACATGAGAACCGTTGTGGGCACATCCAACCGGTCTTATCGCAGATGAGTTCGCAGCTCGCCCCATGGTCTCTGAGATGCTACCTATCTCTTGGATCGGTGCATGCAGCATGTCGTTCCGATTTGCATACATCTCGATGCTACCCAACATCGCCGCAAAGTTTCTGATCAGGAGAAAAGATACTCAGTTCCAGAGAAGGAAACGTTAGCAATCGTCCAAGCCCTGACCCAATGCTAATGGCTTACCAGCGCAAGTCCAGACCCTATCATAGTATATACTGACCACCGATCAATCGAGCAGAGTATGAGGAATCATGGTGAAGTCCATGGGAAGCTGGCGAAGTAGATCGAAGTGCTCACCGAACATGACGTGGAGTATCTGCATCGACCCAATACTACGAAGATTATCCGAGTAGCAGACGGACTGAGCCGCATACACGACAGGCTTCAAGATCCCCCGATGGACATCAAGGAGCGACTTGCCTTTGAAGCTGAAGTCCGAAATCGCATGATCGTGGGAACTGCTTTAGACATGTCCCACACCGGGTCTTGGCATCCATTCTTGTAGGCTTCTTAGACAAACATTCAGGCATCACGGCTAGTGGCTGCCCTTCCACTTCTCGATAATATTCTGCTCCTAATACACGGACATTAGATAGAGCTGAGAACTGGACAGGGAAGGAGGTCGATCGAGGGAAGGCTAGCTCTCGTCACTAGATTCTTGCCGACTGCCTATTGCTGCCTGCAGTGGAACTGGGTCTCTGGATGCTCCCGCGCCACCCAAGATGCATAGCACAACTCAGATCCTGTTCTTCCCAGATTTCCCGACTTTTAGCAAGTGATTCCCATTGACTTTTATATACCAGTGGTGATGCCATGCAAAGCAGCCTTGATTACACCCCGAGTAACTCACCAGATGTACCAACTTATAGAAAGCAGGCCCTCTGCCGTCTTGTCACTTGGTTCTGGTACAAATTCGGAATAGTCGAGCCGTGCCCAAACCTCCTCTCTCCTTCCCATCGAGTAACTTTCACATCACATTCCTCCTGCATGATGTTCGATTCCCCAAAGGTAGACGGGGCAAGAGGCTTCTCCTTCCTCGAAACTTGATATCGCATGTGGACACACACCATTACCCATCACGCAAGTGGAGGAAGAAATTCAATGTCAGTAAACATCCGGATCTTATTCTCCAACACGCTCATGCAATTACAAAGATTCGAACATCAATCCAACCGCCCACGCACCACCGTATGCAACGCAGACCCAAACCTCAAACGACAATGCGTAAGATAATCCCCCTCGCCATGGCCCCCTATTCCTACCCTTCATCGTCGTCGCCTCACGTTCCTCACGTTCACGCGATACATAAGCATCTTTTGCATGGGAACAACTTCTTTCGAATTGTTCCGGCCAGCCGCTCGCCTGTCTCTCTCCTTCTCTCCTCAGATCCTCGCCCTTCATCCTTTCTCTCCCGGGTCCTATCCTACTCCCTTGGCAAGCCCTTCCACATCCAAGCCTTTGCATGCGGACGAGCTGCTTTCCCAGTCGAACAAGAATCCTCATCCAAGTAGAAACAACAATGCCAAATAGAACCACGTATCGACGGCGGAGCAGGATTGCCTTCACCCCTTCTACATGAAACATCACCCCCGACACCGTCGGCCCCGGAGATTGGCGCCCAACAGGTAGAGCGCAACCCTCTCCATCGCCAAAAGGCTGCCACGGATACGGCTGAAAAAGAATTTCTTGAGTCAAATCACTCTGGTATCGATCTTTAAAACATGTTTCCCCTCGGAAGACGGATGAGAAACAGCTCACTCGGGGAGTGAAATCAAGGGATTTCGGATCTCCTGTTGCTCTTCCAAAAATCGATGGCTTCGACAACGTCCTCTCCCTTCTCGTCTTCATACGCAAAGATAATCTGTAATTTGTCAGTGAGGTGCGTGATAAGCGGGAGACAGGAAGCATTACCTCATGCGTGCTGCTGTGCAGCATCCGAATGTTCTTGTGCGGCACAATATGCACAGCACCATTCTCAATGTTCCTGAGCTCGATAAAGTTCTGCTCGAACGCCAGAATCCACGGGTAGCTAAGAGCGAAGCTTCCCGGTGTACCCTCCCAGTCGATCCGCCATTCAGGTCTCGCGCGCCATCCATTACGATTGACGAAGAACGAGAATTCGGAGTAGTTGAGGAGGAACTCGCCGTTGAGGCGCTCAATATGAATCGGCTTGACATTCTCCTTTCTTGCAACGAAGTCGAGACTCGTGTCTGCCTGGTCGAGCAATGATTGCGTCTCAAGAGTCTCAAGTGAAACCACCTCAAATCCACGGGCACATGCCACACACAACTTGGACTTGAGGAAGTGTACCGACGATGATTCCGTGGGGATGTAGAACTCCTTGAACGGCTTGAGCTCGTCTTGTCCAGCAAACATCTTGCCGAAGCCCTTTTGCTTCTTGCCCTTCGACATAGCATCGTTGGGTTCATACACCTTTATTGTAGTCGAGAGAGCTGAGGACTTAACGCAGCACACAAGATGTCTGCCGAGGCAGATGCCTGTCTTGAAGAAGTTGCAGTGACTCTGGATTTTCTTGGGTCGCTTCGAGAGAGCAGGTTCGTTTGGATCCAATGCCCCTAGCGGGTACGAATAAAGCGCCTTATTAGACAGAACCAGAAGGAGGCCATATTCCTCGAGAACATCAAGCTGGGTGACGCTCGTTGTCTCAATGACACGCTTGGGCATCGCATCTCTGCTCTTGCGATCAGAAAGGTAGATGCCATTGTCCGTGCCGTACAGCAACTTGCGGCCACCATCGTACGGCGTAACGCAGTTGACTTGGTTTGTGCCCACAAAGAAGCCTGTGGAGATTACACTTGTGTTGAAGAAGTCGGCGCGGGCTCTCAAGCGTTGCTGGGCGCTATCAATAAACTCGAGCCACTTCTTACGTGCAGCCTGGTTAGACGCGTAGAGCGTCAGTTCGTACCCGGCTTTGCCCAAGTGCCTGAATGTGATCGGCCAGCCTTCGCTCTTCTTATTGTCGTTTGTGTTGGCTCGAAGGGCGGGAAGCAAGCTTGATGAAGATCGCTTCATGGCACCGGAACCTGGGATGACCTCTTCCATTTCACGGATAGCGAGCAGCTCCAAGGGGATCGGCCGCCTGTATGCCTTGATTTCTTCGCCCTTGCCAGCCTGCTTGATTCTCACCAGAAGGACTGCGTGGTCGAACAAGAAAGCAGTGATCTCAGACGCGTCTTGCGGTGTCTTCTTCAACTGACTCTTGAATACCAACTCTCTGCCTTCCTCCGTCAATCGTAGATCCACCCTCTCGTTTGGCCGGAAGCGCAGTTGCTCATGGAGTCGCCTCAAGTTGAATCTGTTCTCGGCCTTTCCTGACTCGGCGTTGACTCTCGTCAAGAGGTCGCGAATCAACTTGAGCACCTTGGGGATGTCTTCCTTGTCAGAGCTACCGTCCTCTGTGTACTTGAGCACGTTTTCCAGCAAAAGTGGGTAACGAGCCAAACGAGTCGTCGGCTTGGTGAGGTAACCATTGAGTTCCAGCTTGCGTGACTCTTTTCGCCGTTCAATCTCATCAACAAACTTGGCAAAGTAGGGGTTGGCGGATCGTTCATTCTCAAATTCGAACTTGGCCTCCAATTGCTTGGAACCATACCAAATAAATGGCTCGAACTGAGGTACACACTCGAGGAAAATGTCGCCAATAGCACCAACAACCGGGTTCTTCTGTTGCCGCTCTGTCAACATCTTGGCGAATTTTGCGCTCACAGCATGCAAACTTGGGTGATCGACAATATTGCTGAAAATGGCCTTAACAACCTTCTCCCTCTTGTTAGCAGGAATCGGAGAAGCCTTGGAGCGCAGAGGCAAAATCCAGAAGTCGCGCAGATATTCCAAGTCCTTCACGAAATCTCTCTCGGTGTAGCAGATTTCTGAAATGACTTCCTGCCTCTTCTTCTCCCTGTCGCCGATGCTGTCGGCCACTTCCTTCGGAACGGAGTTGATCCAGAGCTTCTGTTCATCGGTTTGGTCGACATCATCTTCATTAGAGACGTTCTCAGACTCCTTCTTCAGGCCAGGCTG